CATTAAGAGTTCATTACTGTCTCGTGTCCACTGAATGTTGCATAAAGAGTGAAGAGAGAATGCAAGTTCTTACAAAATTAACAATAATATTTAATAATATTTATTAATTTATATTAGGCGGATATCAATTTACCATTTCAAGGTCAGCAGCTGATCAAAATTATGCACTTAAATAATATTACTAATAATAACATTAAGTAGCATTGATAAATAGAGAATAACACATGGGCGCGCGTAGATACAGAATTTCTCTTCGAGTTTTGAACTCGATAGCTCACGAATGAGCGCATCGAACGTGAGATGTCAAGTTGAACAAGAGAAGAGAAATTTAACCTTTCTCTTTCTCCTTTTCCTTCTCCAAATCCCATTCGCGACGTCGTGCGAGCTACACCATTTCCCAGTGGCTCGTCTCGCTTCACCCATAAATATTACTCAAGACGTGCCAGTAGCATGCTAAACGAAAAAGACACAAAAAGGAAAGGCAACGTCATTCATTTCGGTCTTCGATAGTTGTCGTTTTGGTTTTCACGATTTCTGTTTGAAGTCATAAAGTTTGTTCTTCATTATTGTCCTCTATGCTTTTGGTTCACATATTTTTCAGATAATCACACTTCGACCACCGATATGTGAAGATCAGTTTGCTTTCACCTTTCATGGCGAGAACGGCTCCACAGATTGCGCGTGGTCTTTTTTTTTTGTCGTTGACTTCACAGAAGAGGACTCAATTTGTCTGCTTTAGTTGGCCAATAACCGAGGTCTATTTTTACTGCTACAATAATAACAATATTTGTAAGATAAACACCCACTCTCAAGGTCGAACAAAGCCCCTGTGAAGTTCCAAATTCAAAGATCACACTGTTTGTACGCCTTACGTACCCACTTTTTTTCTTTTGCCATCTACGTCTCCACAATTCGCCAGTCTCTCACCGCAAGGAGAAGTTCTTCCCGACACAAATCAGTAAAACATCACTTTTGACCAACAGGTGCCTTGAAACATTATTTGAGGGAGGTTGTGAGTTCCATAATGATTGAAACTGAGAAGAGATCACCAGCTGAAATATATAGGTTCTGTGGTATTTGACGCTGAAATGTAACTTGAATCTTTTAAAATGTTTATTACAGTTCGTGTGTCCTACACGAATTAGTTATATCCGGATCCATCGATCTGACGGCACAGTTGTTTTCTGTGTTGACGTGGCCATTACTGCCGGGGTGATATATCCAGTTGGGAGTCTTGGGCCGACTTTTCAGTTCACGACGTTACTGACCTTTACAGAGAAAGAGAGTTACTATGTAACAATGGATCATGGTGAGGATACTGGATTTATCTCATGATCATACAGTTTATGTAACAGATTTTGAACCTATCACCCAATGAAATCGCCTCCATACAACTTTCTCCAAACTTTTCCTGAATTATCAATTTGATAACTGTACCCATTGAGGACCGGAGAAGAATCGTGTTGTCTCCAAATCGTTCCATGATCTGAGAACTTTGTCCCTAGAACATTTGTTGCAAAAAAAGCAGCTAAAAAAATGAGGGACTGCATGAAGGGTTTTGAATCAAGCCTATGGTCAAAGCAAATGTCATATTGACGTTATTTTCTGGTTCCCTTGCATGTGTGGCTAAAGGTGTTATCTTCTGTGGTGCTGAGTCGCCTGCGAGCACAGATCCTTACACCATGAGGATAAAGATAAGTACATTACAAGTACATATTACTGATATTACTAACAATTATGGTCAATAGATTATAAACTGTTTATAATCTCTTGTTATTGCACTATCATCATCAACTTATTTGTCTTTCTACAGAGGATATCACCCCACCCGTTTTAACACTCATTAATGCTCCATCTCGTTCTGAAGGTGACTTTCAAATCACTTGGACAGCAAACGAAAATGTTACAACTCAGTGCACAGTACAAACTCCTTCCCAGATCTTTGGTCAGCCATGCCATTAGTCGTGAACTGGAAGTAATCTAACCGGGGGCTTCTACAGCATTTATGTTCGGTTAACAGATTTGGCGGGAAACTCGGCACTGCCTGCCAGACACTCATGGTTTGTAGGTATGTCGAGAGTGGAGACCCGTATTATTAAAACCACTGAAATGGAGGTAAAAGCTTGAAAAGGATGCTGAAGTGATTTATGTTCAGTAAACGGAATTGGAGGAAAACCCAGCGGTGCCAGCCAGACATTCATCATTGGAAAATATGTCGAAACAATTAATTTTTCTATTGAAATGGAGAAAAATACTTGATTAGGATAGTAAAATAATACTGAAATAATATTAGTTATGCATAGCAGCTAAGCGATTTGATTAACGGAGGTTAATTCATCAACTTTTGAATAAAGTAACTATGTTCGAAACCAGTGAAGCAACTTCGTGATTGAGAGATGATGTCTTAGAGAATATGTAGCTTTTTCAATGTAACTCACGCGACGCAGAAAGAAACAGACATGGAAAGCTCAATCCGAATTCGTGATCGATGCATAAATTGAAAATGCAATGCCTTCTTATTTTTTCCTGTTTTTTTTTTTTAATTTTCATTTTTCAGGCCGCACGCCACCCATGGTTATCATAACTTCAAAGCCCGCTACTGTTAGCAACCAAAATCCATTTACGTTCGGCTTCGACTGTCGAGAAATCTGTTCGTTTGAATGCTTCGTGCGTCAACAAGGTATCATTCCTGCTTATTCCCGGTGCAACAGCAACAGATACACGGCCAGAAAACTGCAGAACGAAAAGACCTACGTTTTTTATGTACGGGGAACGGATGACGTCGGGAACCAAGGAAATCCGGATAGTTATACGTGGACAGTTGGTAAGTCAATCCTCTCAGTGCACAGTGCAAACTCCTTCCTAGATCTTTGGTCAGCCATGCAATTAGTCGTGGACTGGAAGCAATCTAACCGGGGGCTTCTACAGCATATATGTGCAAAAACTTTTCACTTGTGTTGGTAACAACAAAAGTGGGGG